CGGCCTCCTTCTCCCCGGGACCCGCACTGTCCCCGGGCATCCCTGTCCAGGGACTCACACGGTCCCCGGGACCGGCACTGTCCCCGGGCATCCCTCTCCCTGGGACCGGCACTGTCCGGTGCTCTCGCTGGCTGTCGGGGCTGAGGGTGGATCTGGCTGCTTTCCCCCAACCCTCGGGCTCCCGCGACAGGGACCGTGCCCCGGCAGCACACGAGGGCACCGTCCCCTCCGGCGCTGGCACTCCCTGGCAAAGCTGGCGGTCCTCTCACCGTGCCCCTTGGGTTTCAGGCTCCCTGCAGAACGGCTCCCGCTGGGCGCTTTCCTTCGACATGTCCTCCCTCTCCAGCAGCCAGGAGGTGAATCTGGCCGAGCTCCGTGTCCGCCTGCCGGGCTTCTCCCCAGCCCGCAATGTCTCCCTGGACATCTATCACAGCCGGCGGCGGAGGTGCTGGGGCAGTGGGACCTGTGCCCACCAGCTCTTCCTGGGCACCGTAGCTGGCAGCCCCTCTTCCACCCAGGCCTCCTGGAAAGTCTTTGAGGTCACCAGCCTGCTCCGGTCCTGGCTCCACCAAGACATGGCCCCTGCACACCACGGTCCCACGGGAAGGGAGTGGTGGGAGGCGAGTGGGTCGGCCACCCCAGCCACCGACTCAACGCGCTTGCCCACCTCGAGCAACGCTGGCCACAGGCAGCCAGCCCTGCCCCAGGACGTGACGGATGGAGTCCTGCTGCTCGTCTTCTCCAGGGACAAGTCTCCGGGAGACCACAGCCTCATCAGGACAGCCGAGACCTCCAAGCACGTCATGCGTGACAGCAGCTCCCAGGGCACGGGGACCCGCCGGCATCGCAGGAACAGGAAGGAGAAGCAAAGGATCAAAGTGAGCGACGCTGCCGCTGCCGTCCCAGGGGAGGAGGTCCGGTCCTTGTGCAGGAGGGTGGACATGATGGTGGATTTCGAGCAGACCGGCTGGGGCAGCTGGATTGTCTACCCCAAAAAGTACAACGCCTACCGGTGCGAAGGGCAGTGTCCGTCACCCGTGGATGAGACCTTCAAGCCCACCAACCACGCCTACATACAGGTAAGAGGGGGTTGCTACCTCCGCTCCCCCCACACACCCCTAGCCCCACTGGCCTGCAGCAGGGGGCGATTCTTTGCCCTTCCCGTGTCTCCTCACAGAGTTTGCTGCAGCTCTACAAGCCCAACCAGGTGCCCTGCCCCGCCTGCTCCCCGGTCAGGATGAGTCCTCTCTCCATGCTCTACTACGAGAAGGGTGAAATCGTCGTCCGCCACCACGAGGACATGATCATCGAGGAGTGTGGCTGCAACTGAGACCACCTCATCCCCTGCTGGGAAGGGGCACATCTCTGCCCAGAAAGTGGCCCTGAGGACTGGCCGCCCAACCCATGACCAATGCGCAGACTGGGGCATCACTGAGCCCCCGCCACCTCCGAATCCTGCGTGCCCATGGGTTGGCGAAGCTCTGGCTGTGCCAGGGCAGAAGGAGTGGGGTACCTGGGTGTTAGTGGCTCTGCGGCACTGCATGGCCGCAGTGCATGGACGGATCCAGGCTACACATGGGGAGGGCCGTCAGACACCCCGCTGCAGCACCGAGGCGGTGGGTGCCTGACGGCTGCATTTAGCCAGGAGCCACGGTGCTGGCGGCCGGTGTGTGCCGGGGCAGCCGAGGGCTGGTGCTGCTCCACAGAGGCAGGAGCCGGGGTGCAGGGCTGGAGCCACGGCAGCATCGCTCCCTGCCATGACACGCTGCCCACGGTGACGCTCCTTTCGCCCGCGATAGGTATCACTGGTAGCTGCGGGCTCTCGGCAGGACACTGCAGCACCAGTGTCCGCCCACACTGAGCGTCTGCACCGTCGGGATTTTCAATCTCCCCCAGGGTTTAGGCATTTCTCTTAAGACTTCTATTATATTTCTATTAAAACTCTATCAGATTTCTATTACAATTAAGCCAAGTTAATGTGTTAGCCCAGTGTCCAGAGCCCCCATCCGGCAGCGCCACGTGGGCAGCAGCAGGCAGGGGTTCCTCTCAGCCTGCTCCTGCCCCGAGCCGCGGGGCTGAGCGTGGCCCTGGGGGGGATGGCCCCGGGAGGAGCTGGCTGGCAGCAGGCAGGGAGGCAGCAATCTCCATCATATACGCTCCTCGCCCAGGACTACGCAGGGAATGATGCAAAAGACCTGGGGCTCCAGCATCCCTCTCCAAAGCATCATCCGTTCACCAGAGAGGGTTTGCATGTTCAAGTGAGGTGCCCCTGGAAACAAGGCAGCCCCGAGGTCGGTCTCGGTGGGTCTGAGCCCCCCCCCAGCCCTCCTACCTGCCCTGAACGTCTCGGCTCATGTGCTGCTTTCCTCTGTAAAATGACGGCTTTGCTCAAAACTTTTCCACCACTTGCTGGATGGGACGGTAGTGAAAGGGTCATGGTTGTATAACTCATCAATAAATTATGTATATTAAAAATGTCCTACCTGCCCTGAACGTCTCGGCTCATGTGCTGCTTTCCTCTGTAAAATGACGGCTTTGCTCAAAACTTTTCCACCACTTGCTGGATGGGACGGTAGTGAAAGGGTCATGGTTGTATAACTCATCAATAAATTATGTATATTAAAAATGCCTGGTAGATTCTGCTGATTTCCACAGCCCGTTTTTGCTGTCAAATGGTCTTTTAGGGTGCAATTCCCTCCAGCTCTCTGTGCATCTGCTGCACCCAGAGGCTCTCCCTTCC